GTAGTTGTTTAGGGCCTCCGGCCAATTGCCTTACTCCTATCGTTAATGGACGTTACATTCTGAGGTCGCTCTTCATTAGTAACCTAACAGTACTTACTGTGTTGAAAAAGGCATTAAACCTATACATGTACAACGTCAATTTCACAAACAGTTAAGATAAAGAAACGCTACATATCAGAGTTTACTCAGGATCAACAAAATTCCACTACACGACACGTGCGTTGTACTTAGATTGCAACACTTGGGCTGACAATGGTTACACTGATCTGTTAGATTGCAATCTCTGTGAAGAATTTACTCTTCAAACTTCCGTTACAAAGTTCATCTTCCCTACCCTTCTTGATGGACTGGCCGACGTTTCTAGGGAAGGTACGCCATTAATGACATAGGTGCTGGTGGACTCAGTGAGAGCACTTTTAGGACCACACGTTATCACAATGGTGATAACAGATTTTCGCAGTTGAATTTGTAGGATCTTTAACACTGCTGTCCGCCATTCACGAGCTGGATCTCAAGTTGTCAAGTGGATTCATTAGTCGGAGCGCAACACTACATTCAAGACTCAACCAATCAAGATTTAGATTTACTTTACGAGTTTTCAAAGAAAATACGAAACAGAGCAGCTTTCGGGATTGGAGTAAATTGTAATTTCTATGAGCGCGGTGTATTTTTTTTAAAAACCGAGACATGTTCAGACAATTGAGAAATTTTTCGTTGGAAGTGTTGTTTTTTTAGAAAGAGTTTTTCCATTCTCTGACAACTGTCACATTTATTGTAAGTGTGCTGTGTGTACTTAAAGCTTTCGATATAGAATCTGTGCCACAGAATTTCTTTTTTGGGAGATCCGCCAAGGGAAGGAGATGGCGCAGTGAGTAGTCAACTACAGCTGAGTCCTTCACAGAGACAAAGGAAAACATGGATGAGGTAAGGATTGAAAGAGTTACAAAGATGTCAATTGTTATTTGTATGTAATCAAAATAATTTTGAAATGTCTAATTGTTTTTCCTTACGTGCCGTACTCATCTCCCGTGTGTAGTACATGATGATAAAACGTGTCTTTGGTATGTTTTTTGTTGTTGTTTTTTTTTTTGGTCTTTTTCCTGAAATTTTGATTCGGGTATGGATTTGTTGTTGTTGTTGTTGTTGTTGTAGATCAATATAATTTGGTGGGTTTTGTTTAAATTTGTGTGTG